AAAACTATATTATTGGTGTTGGGACCAACAAGTGATGTGATTAAGGGCGTTGAACTCCCACATGACCGACCATGGTTTGAGTCCCGGACCTGGTGGCTTGCTTTCTTACTTTCTCTCTCTCTCTCTCTGTCCCTCTCTGGCCAAGTTAAAATAAACAAGTAAATAAATAAAGTTAAATAAAATAATTCTTTAAAAAATTATATTATTGGTATTTACAAATAAGTAATTTGTTATTATTTTTAAACAAATTGATTTTTTAAAATTTTTTCTGTCTTAATTCCTTATACAGTAAACATTAGCAGTCCTAACCCACATAAACAGACACTCTTCGTAGTTATCATTAAGTTTTAAGAATGTCAGAAAAGTCCTGATGCCGAAGTTTGAGAACTACTCATGTAGTCCGACTTTCTCTCAGCTGATGCTCAGTAAGATGGAGGGACTTGCCCGGCTCCCACAGCCACTTCACGCCCAGTCACTGAGCGTTGTCTGACTTTACTCTCCACTCATTTCATGGACCCTCCAGCTATACTGTGGTTCTCTGAGGGCTGGACAGGATCCAGCCACCTCTTACAGGGTTCTTAGGTGTTAAAACCAGGTAGTCAGGAAGCTTGAGGGGGCCTGAGGGATCCGCTAGTCAAATCTGCTCCCTCTTCTACCATGCCAAAGTGCCCAGTGAGCATCCATGGACCACTGGTCACCCAGCCCCGACGCTGTGCCTGGGCACTAGGCAGGGGAAACCCACAAGCTACTGAGTTGTTTTTTGTTTGTTTTTTGTTTTCACATGTGCCTGGCGTGAGTTTAAGCCACCGGGTCCAGGGCTCGAACTACAGTCCACTCCATGGGAGTCCAGCGACATAGTCATTACTCCAACTGCTGGTCCCCCTCAAGCTTCTGAAGGAGCCTGTGTGGAGTTCAGGTAGTCCTCACTGCCTGAGACAAATGCCTCTAACTGAAGCCAAAGCTACCTCCTGGAGAGATCTGTTAGGTGACTGCTGCCATGCTTGGCCTTGCACAATAAACGTCAGGGGCCCAGCCCATGCCCCGCCCCATACACCACCCCTTCCTGGTCCCACCCTTTCCCATGCCCTAGCAGGTTCCGCAGCACCCACCTGGGGTGAGAGACCAGCCTGCGGTGCTGGGCTTCCAGGAGCTGTTGCTGCAGGAGGTATTGCTGGTGCAGGGCCTGAGGTAGGAAGGAGGGACCTGTGACGTCCTGGAACTGCAGGGTGGGCAGCGGGGTCAGCGACTGGTGCAGGGCGCCGCTGTGCTGGTGGGCCGGGGCCATGTGGGCGCTGAGGCCCGGCTGCGACTGCACGGGGTGGGCCAGCGGGAAGTCGGGGGCGAGCTGCTGCGGCTGCGGGGGGCCCAGGTGGAAGTGGCGGCAGGAGGTAGCGTGAGGATGCTGAGACCTTTGAAAGGGGGCACCTGCGGAGGCAAGGGTGGAGAGGTCTCCATGAGGGCCATCCCTGGGCTCCCACACTGTGCTGGTCCCCACCCGTGGCACAGCCAGCAGCTGTCAAACCCAAGCTCTCCAGTCCAGCACAGCAAGTTCATCACTCTTGCATCCCTCTGGTCTTTTTAAACGCTGCCAAGCAAAGCCTCTGGGTGTGTGTGTGTGTGTGTGTGTGTGTGTTAGAGGGGACAAGACTGTGTTCTTTAATGGCTATATATGATTTTTTAAAATAATTACACTTTGAAGTATAATTAACACATATGTTAAAGGAGTTATAATGTCCCTAAAGGCAATTTGACTTTCTCGAATGAAACTCCTTTTTACCCTTAGCCTGTTTACCCTAACTCTTTAGCTAGATGTTACCCATAGAAAATGTAGTCCAGCCTGCCCAAGCTCCGAACTTCACTAAAGACTTGGCTAGCCAGGACCCAACCCATATGGAGCCTGAACTTCCATAGAAAAATCAACCAGAAGTTTTCTGTGCAGCTTTAAGGGAAAAAAGCACACACAATAAATTTTAAATAATAATTAATTTATTATAACAATTTATTTTAAAAGCATACATATCCCAGCATAAGCTGGGCTCAGGCTATGTTAATTTAGGCTCCATTACTTTTCTAAATAAAATTGAGCTTGATGACAAGGAAGCCTTACAAATTCTCCATGAGCAAAACTCCAAACCCAGGAGAGCTCTCTACTAGGCAAGGACATAGACCCAACATGAAGAGGATTTGCAGAGAACTTCCTGCTACACACAGCAGAATCGCCATGTCTGCTCCTTCTGAGCTCCACCGAAACCACCGAAACGAGAGCAAAGGCATACGGAGGAGATCAATCGACAAGGACAAAGTGAGTGGGAGAGGTGGTATCAGCAGGCGACAGATGTCAACAGATTTTTGGAAGATGGAAAGCAGATAGAGGAATTAGCAGAGCTGAGAAACCGGAAACCCAGTGCTACCAAAGGGGCAGTCAACTGAAAGTGGACAAATCTTGTGCACAGTGCTGGAAAAGTCAGGAACGGAGGCAGGGGCTGCTTTGGAAGGCAGGAGAGAGGGTATGCTGAGAACAGGAGAGTGATGTTAAGCCTCTGTGAGAAGCAATGCCCAGGGCTCCTCCTCTTTCCTGTAGGGCAGTATCTTCCCTCAGAAAAGCTCTAATTCAAGAAGTCAGGGGTGTCACTAGTGCCATGCCAACAAGGATTAAGTGAAAGTCTACTTACGGAACTTGGAATCCCCTGCCCTCTTCTGCCATTGATTTAAAAAATGCTGTCACCCAGGTGTGTACCCCTTCCCCGCATCTTCCCCAGCCCCAGGGTAGAAGCTGGGGGATGCTTCTCTGAAGAAAACAATTGATCCCAGAAAGAGCTTTTACAGGTACTTCTATTTGGGAGTAACTCAATAAAATGGTTGGGTATCCAACCTGCTATTCTATAATTAAGCCCCTTAGTTTAAAAATCTGTTCACATGTGCACATACACACACACACACACACACACACACAGCTTCTGGACAGCTTTAGTGACCTGCTCTTTGATGTGAACAGACAACCAAAGGTGACCAGACTCCTGATTACAAAGTGAAAAAAGAGAACATGAATTTTCAAAAAGAAAAAGAAAAGGAACTCAGATGGACAGAGATGCTATAAAAATAAATAAATAAATAAATAAATAAATAACAGGAAAAAAGAAAAAAATTCAAAATACTGTAATTAATATCCTCAAAGAAATAAGATGTTGGATTCATGAAACAACAGGAAACTCTTTTTAAAATGAGCGATGGGAAAATAAGAAAGAGAGATCTTGGCCAGTTCTGTAGCATCATGGATAAGGGAGCCAGATCCCACATGATTGACTATGGTTCAAGTCCCAGCCCCAGAGGTTTTGAAAGCATGCCTGGCATATGTGTATGCATGCCCAAAATACTAACAGGATGGAAAAATGAAGAAGGGATTTAGGGGGTGCTTTCTCTGTTTCTGCCCCATTAGGGGGTGCTTTCTCTGTTTCTCTCTCTCTCTCTCTCTCTCTTTAAGTGTATGTGCACTCTGGTGGTTAAAAAAAAAAAAAGTGAATTCTTTGCAAGTGACCTTCCTTCCTAAAAATAAAAATAAAAACAAAGAAAGCAAGCTCTTGAAAATTAAGGATATGTAAAGTAAAATCTCAAATTCAACAGCAAAGTTGCAAACTAAAGCTGGGGATATTTCCCAAAAAGCAGAATGAGAAGACAAAGAATAGGACACAAAGATGCAAAATTGAACATTCAACATATCAACATTTCACTAAGACAGAAAAAAAAAAAGAAAAAAAACAGAAAATGATGGAGAATTATTAAAACACTATAAAAAATATTTCACTGAATATAAGGTCTGTGTTTCTAGATCAAAAAGGCCTTCTGGGGGCCAAAAAGTGGTGTGGTGGTTAAGACAACTGGATTCCCATTGGCCAACTGCAGTTTGAGTCCTGGACCTGGAAAATCATATGCATGTGTGTTTGTGTGCCCCAAATTCTGAGAAGAAAATAGAGGAGAAGGGATTGCAGCAAGGGGGGTGCAATCCCTTGGGAGTGACTTCCCACTTTTCTTCTCTCTGTCTCTCTCCTCTGGCATAAGCCTCATGGCAAAAACCTAAAAAGAGAGAGAGAAGGAAAGAAAAGGCTCTCTCAGGGCCCTGAAAACAAACAAACAAACAAACAAACAGATAAGTAGATGGGAGAAAGAACCCCACTCCACCACCACCAAAGCATCTCACTGTAAAATGTCCAAGCGACAGAGACAAAGAGATGATTCTAACACCTTCCAAGAAGAAGCAAACAGGTCCCATGCAAAGGGCCAGGAATTGGACCACAGGAGATTTTTATTTTTTTTTACTTTTTATTCCAGATGAGATTTTTTTCAAGAGTGACACTGGACACTTGAAAATAATAGAGCAACTGCCTTCAAGGCACTATGGGAAAAAAATGATTTTCAATCTAGAATTCTATGCTCAGCCAAACCATTAATCAAGTGTGAGACTATAATCAGGCCATTTTCAAACATGCAGGGTCTCAAAAAATGAACCTTCTCAGCACTTTTTCTTAAAGAGGTATGGTACAAACCAAGAAAGAGGAGCATGAAAAGGGGGCTGCACCCAAAAGAGGTAGGGGGATCCGCAAGCACAGAAGTTATGCAGGGCTCCAGCTGCCATTCCATGGGAAAACAGGAGCATAGGACCTCCACGAAGGTATATGAAGGCAAAGGGGAATGGAAATTATGAGATTACAGGTAGATTTGGTCACAGGCAAATACTATTTGAAAAAAATATATAATTTGACAGAAAATTTAATAAGAATTTGTAAAAAAAAATGTCAATAGAAACAAGGCAATCCCCCAAAATGAAGCAATTATTATGGCCAGGGAAATGAAAAATTGTGCAAGAAAGTGCAATGATTATGCACCACTTGGCTCTGCAGTAAATAATATATATTAACAATAATAAGCTATAGTAGAACAGAGATGGATTTTTTTCCCATAACTTGAAGAACATAGTCAATGTCAAAAAGTGAAAAATTAACAAAAAGCAGTCTAGTAGTTTATTTTGAAATTTACTTAGTAACATATATTTCAGGAAGTAAATGCCTGAAGAAGGGTTGAAGTGCTGAGCTTGAAGGAGTTTGGCTGTGGCAGGGAGGGCAGGAGGCAGGCAATAGCTATTTTACTAAATATGCCCTAGAATGGCCTATTCACCTTTGTAAATGATGTGCATGTCATTAATAAACAATTTTAAAATCTTTTTAAAATAAATATTTGCCAAAAAATGAAAACAAAAGAATTTGTGAGCCCAGACAAACCAAAAAAGTGATCTTTTGGGTTGTCAAAAGAGTCATGACTGGTGGTGTAGTGGTTAAGACACTGGACTCCCATATGGTTGACTGTGGTTTGAGTCCTGGACCCGTTAACTTGAAACTCAAGCTGAGCACATGTGCGTGCATGTCTAAAATCCTAAGAGGAGAATGGGAGAGAAGGGATTGGGGCTTGGCCATCCCCTCTGGGGGTTGATTTCTCATCTTCTGTCTCTCTGTCTCTCTGGTGAGTGCACGCACCTTGTAGCAAAAATATGTCTCAAAAAGAAAGAAAGAAAGAAAGAAAGAAAGAAAGAAAGAAAGAAAGAAAGAAAGAAAGAAAGAAAGAAAGAAAGAGAA